AGGGGGGCGGAGTTTACAGCTCCTCCTCCAGTTTAAAGAGACAGTACCCAAAAACGGCTCGTTCTCAAGACTCTCCTCAGAACAGGGGTAGATGAGGGTCTGTAGATTAACAATAATGAGGAAATCAGACCAAAGAACTGCAGTTCCACTGTATTTAGACCCCAACTGAAGGATTTAGATGTAAAAATGAATAACTTAAAAGCATGTTATGTCTCCTTTAAAGTTACTCATGGATAGTAACAACCAAAATGACCTTTACTTTTACTTAACATAGAAGGGGATGTTACAAATTTCAGATGGTGCTAAACATTGTTTTGTTTTTACCATGCAAAGTGTAAAGAATAAATCTCTCCACTTCTAAAAGGAAAATGAACCCACAAGGTCCCACTTGCACACGTGGCCATGTTCTTAGACATGGTGCTGATGGTCTTCAAACAATCATGGGGTGTTTCTCAATGTCAAGGCCAGGCGCCTTGCTCACAAGGACACTGTCCTTCTTTGGTCAAAGAAAACTGTTAAATGTAGCAGACTTGCATCACGTGACCGCGGCTTCCACGGCGGTAACACAGCGTCACGTGACACGGGAGATAACATTATATTTTATATGTATTATTTTCAATATAAATAGTATACATAACAAGCTTTTTACTTTTTAAATTGTGTATATGTTTATTAAATAAAAAATATAAGCGAGTTACTACCCGCTCGCCACCGAAGCTGCAACTAACCAGTTACATATATAACTTATTTGGATCTAAAAAAAAAACATTTTAAATTAGCTGACTTACTTTTAAACTTGAAAATTGTCCCCAAAGTAGCTGCCAGCTTCTGATCCGCCAACTTTTTGAAAATACCGCGGTGTATTGTGGGTAATTTTAGACCAAGTTTAGGCTACAAGACACCTCCTGTGTGTCCTTGTTCAGCTAGCTAAACGGCTATCAAATGGAGAACACACGCCTCGGTAGAACGTGAACATTGGAACCGACTGGAACACGTCTTGGCGGCTCCTGATGATGTATCTCCTAGGCAACCGGGGTGGGGCCAAGACATCAAGGCAAGGTTCCTTGACATTGAGAAACACCCATGGTTTGTTCTAAGCATCATGGTCTGCGTGATGGGCCTGTTGTAAGAGAGTTCCAGGTTCAAGCCCCAGCAACAGCCTTCCACTTGGTTCTCAGGTTTACCCTATTTGTGTGTGGTTTTTCTTAAATTAGAATTTAACTAATTAAAAACATAATTTTTAGAAACAAATAGCATCAAAGCAGACTCTGCATGAATAAACAAGAGTCAACAGCTGGGAATAATGTAGCTAAGGACTGAATTTCTGGGTTCCACCTGTTAGTAATTATGCATGAAGCCCATGCTTTATACATTTTATCACTAATAAATGGGGTTTACTACATTGTTAGGAGTCACAGTTTCAGTATCTATATTTTATTCTTCTTCTACTTGTTCCTGTGCAGGGTTAGGAGGGCCTAGGTCTAAATAAGTAGAGATCACTGACCAGAGGTGCAGTCTGGACACTTTGTAAGTCCATCACAGAGAATAACAGCATGCTAGAATATGAATCCAGTGTAGCCAGTTAATCTGTGTTTTGTCTGGAAACTGAAAATTCACACGTTCACAAAGGAGACAGTAGAAACTCTGTGCAGGCTCCAGGCATGAGTCGAATCCAGGACCTCCTTGCTTTGCTCAGAAAGCTGAATGTCATCTCTATAACTTAGTTGGGGAATATATTCAGCAAAAATACTGGCTGCACATTTTCAGAGGGATTAACTTTCACTATGCCCACAGTTTAATTCTGTGTCTCTGCATGCCCTTTTAGCCTCCATCTTCCTTACTTCATCCACCCGCTTTCTAATAATAGCCTTTACTCCTGGAGCTGAGTGGAAAGGGGGGAACGGCTGATTTCATATTGGATTTTCTACAATGCCCAGCTTGCTTTTGAAGACTTCTTTTCAGCCTATTGATTTAAAGTAGCAGCTCTGCAAGAGTAGCCTTATAATTTTCCGGCTTGATTTGCACCACATTAAAGGTGACCCCATGTTAAAAATGACACTCGAGCTTTCAAGGCTGTGTGTTTAAGCAGGCTTCTTTTTGCCATCATTAGTAGCAAAAATCAGGCTAAAATGTGCAATTCATAAATCTTAGCATGAATCTTGTTATACAAAATTATTTTTACCTTTTTTTGATGCCAGATTAAAAGAAAAATCTTGTCTTTCTCTCTTTTTTCTTCTCTTTGCCTGTTTTCCTGCCTTCTGGCAGGTAGCTCAAACATCTGTATGTAAAGTGCATTAGGTCTGGCTAGGAAAGAAAGCAGTGGCACACATACACGATTTGGGCCCGACGTTAAATCTCTTACCCTGTTTGTATAATCCATGAATCAGGTTGTGCCATCATGTTTTTATTTTTTTTATTTTACCAACGCTCGCCTGCTCTTCCCACACAGCAATGCAACAGTCTTATAACAGAATATGATTGAAACCTCATAAATGCAGAGTTTAGCTGTGTGTTTCTGTGAAAGCAGGCGATCTGTTAGAGGGGTGTTGAAAAGACACATGCTGAGTGTGCAATTATCTATGACATCCATCTCTCACTGTTCACACTCTCTTCAGTCTATTTTAATCCCTGTTTGTAGACGCTACTGTATATTTAGCTCTTTTCTGTAGTTTTATCTTTTTCTCCTTTTATTGCTTGCACAATCAAGAGCCACTGAAATGGATTTAGCCTAGCCCACTGAAACAAGCGAAAAGGGGCCTGTGGGATTTGCTTTTGCTGATTTGTCTGGTTTCGATTTGGTTTATTTTGTTGCATTTTTATTTCCTATGTGGTGTTTTTATTTGTGTGTTCTCAGCTGGTGTGAAACGTAATGTGTCGGGTGGAGAGTTCAGGAGGTGCTGAACTGGAAAAGTACAGCTGGTGTCAATGTCTGGAAGAACATTAACACCACACACACACACACACACACACACACACACACACACACACACACACACACACACACACACACGGACACACATAAAAGTGCTTGGGTGTGTTTCGAAACTCATTGTGGGGCAGAGGCAATGGGAGCCGGGGACCGAGATAAGGTGAAAGGTAGACAGACGAAGAGCAAACAAAACTCCGTAGAGAAAAGGTGTAGTTGTCTAAAAGGTGATGTTTGAAATGATAGCGCATTCTGCTGCAGCACAGCAGCATCAGCAAATTCTCTGCTTCTGTATTTAGTTTTTTTTTTTCTTCAGTTTAGCAGCCAAACAGGCAGGCTTGCTCAAGGACAAGATTTCTTCAAGTAAATAGAGTCTGTCAGACACCGAGGCCCCCGGGACTGCATACCTAAATGTAAATAAAAAATACACTAGAATGAAATAAATCATCAACATTAAGGCATGTTTGACTATCAGAGCTGCCTGGGAAAAACCCATAAATACAATTTATATTTCAATTTTCACAAAAATACATGATTTACTTAATTAATGTTTTAATTCTTTAAGTAATGTCATGTGATTCATCTTTTTCTTCTTGACTTACATGACATTTCTGACACTTGGTAGAGTTTGGTGTTTCTCTTAAATAATACAAGAAAAAAAATCTTTAAACCATTCTAATCTAAAACAAAAAACAAAGCCACAACAGTTAATGTAAACATCCATGTAAATGTTTAAGCCAACATAAAATTACATGGATATTTACAAAGAAGTATGTGGTTATTTCCAACAGGAAGTTGGGGAAATTATTTTTGTTGTTTCTATTTTAGGTTGTACTTATTTTTTTGTAAATTATGAAATTATTGAAGAAAAAACAAATTGCAGGATCATTAAAGTAAGATTTTTTTTAGTCTATTGGGATTGCCCTAACTGAATAAGGCATCCTCGAGTTTGCATAAAGAAAAAACACAAAGAACAAACCACAAAAAAAATCACAACTCGTGCGTACCAGAAATGCTTAAAAACCCAGAAAATTAGGAAATGTGTTTTAAAACATTTTTAAAAGATGCAAAATTTCATAGATTCATAGACTGAAACAAAAATGATGCGGTTTCACTGAAATTTGTCTAATAGTTAGAATTAGAGAATCATTAAATATCTTAAAGGCATTTCTATGCAGTCATTCACTGCTGTTAATATTCAACCATCAAATCCATCACATATGTTTTATTGTCAATTTTAACACATAACTCCCTCTGATTTCTGTAAACTGATCTTAATCATCTCTGCTTTACTTTGTAAACGACTATGACAGTTTTATGTGTCTGACACTTCTACAGGTCACTTGCAGCATTAACGTGACAGAACCACACTCATTAATTTAAATGATTTCATTCAACTAAACTGTACTTTTAATTTAAATTCTTGCATTCATGCAACGTTTAAAGTTCTGTATTTTCCATTAAAGCGGGTCTTTGTTGCAGCGTTGTCCTGGACACTGAACCACTTCATCAGAAGCTAGATGTGGCCTCACTAACAGCCATTTTACCGTGCTACAGTTTTGGCTGATGTGCATGACAAGTCGAATTTCCGTGAAGCAAAAGTGTGTGCGTGCGTGTGCATGTGCGCATGAGCGTCTTGCAAGCAGCGTGAGAAGCGTGTAATATGCTCACCTGTCCCCGGCTGCAGACTGATGGGCAGGTGGAGCAAATGGAAACCAGATAGAAGTAGAGAGCGATGGCAGAAAAAAGGGGAAACAAATGCAAAGTAGATAAGACCGCTCCAGCAAGCCAATGGTGAAAATGCTTTTCACTTTGGAAAAAGTGTAGCCAAATAAGTTGCGTTTCGGCGGTGTGTTGATATTAACATCAAGTTCAGATCTAAGTTATCTTTTCATGATGAAATAAAAAACAGAGGAAGAGACGAGTGCTTTTTTAAACGCTCTTTCAGTTTCAAGGAATTTGTAGCAATTTTTTTCAGAAAACCTTAAAAAACACAAATGAAATTAATTTATAATTTAATTTTTTTATTTCTGTAATTCAAAATCACTAAAAATCCCTGTTTTGTCTTTGCCAGGGTGAAGAGGAAGACCCAGCGTAGACTTCCTCTCCCTTTATGGTAAGCTCAGCTCTTCCCGTTTACATTTCCTGGTGGATGTTTGCAGGAAACCTTCGGCTCATTTGGGTTAAAGTTCCAGCTTTGATTTGTTTTTTCTTTTTTTTTCCAAAGATTCTTGGCTCACCAATTCAGCCGAGGATCTTTGAAACTCATTTTATTTATGCTCTAAATTCTCTACCTTTTCTTTTTTGAACTCCTCAGCACATTAGCAGAGTGGCTGCATCCTTTTATAAATTTGTCTCAGGGTAACGTAAACCTTTCCTCACCACTTTGAAGAGGACAGTTTCTTCAGCTCAAATTTAAACCAGCTATTTGGGCCACATGTGTGAAGAAGCAAAGAAATACCGTGAACATGTCTGACATGTGTGAGAACACAAAAGCATAAATGGTGAAAACGTTGCAGTTAAAACTTTTCAAAGTTTATGGTTAGACCGAAGAATCCACTTTTTAAAAATCATACGTAGAGCTCTCGATAACCACAAGTAAAGCGGTCCCTGTTCCTCTGTCAGTATCACGTCTTTGGCTGTTTCTGGTTGCCGTGGTGACATGTGTGTCAGCAGCAGGATGTGTGATGTATGTTGGTGTGTGTGTGTTAAAGCGGTGGGTGTTGATGGAACTCTGCAGAGGCGTATAGAGTTCCTCTATCCAGAAATGCCAGCGACAAACGTGTCAGTGGTCACATATGGAAAGTGCAGGAATGCAGACATTACACGCCGTCCCCCCAGCACTCGCCGGCATGCATGCACGCACACACACCAAAAATATGCAGATGGCATGGACACAAATGTAGACAGATATTCAGGTTCCATGCAAGCCACTGGATTCAGGCAGCCCAGGGCTATACGGTTACATGCAGGGACGTCCATTCCTGCCTCCTTTATAACACCGACAGTACTCACTCACCTGAAGCTAACATTTAATACTGCTTATTTTAAATTATAAAGAAGTGCCTGTAGTCATTTTTGAAAGACTTATACATAAATGACAGCTGATATTTGCATAAAGAATTGTCAAATGCAAATTGTTTCTCACTTGACTGATGCCGAGGAGAGGCTGGGGGTTCAGGGCCTTGCCTTTGGGCATCTTGACTTTAGCGAAGGAGAGGAGAACACCACTCATTTGCTTTCCCCAGCCAGTTTTCCCTCTCACAAGTCAAAGGGATTAAAACACAAGACCGCGAAAGCTTTAGGCTACTGCTGAGAAACAGGTGTAATGCGATGCAATTACACTCCGCTCCTTTTTTCACCGTTGTCGTAATTGAGTTCAAGTTCAAGAATTTATTCTCTCCCTCGGGGACGTTCGTCTGGCAGCGTGACATATGTCATGGTACACATTCACAACAAAGAGGCGAAACACAGAAACACTAGACACAGGAAATCATTAGGAAGAAAAAGAGGCTCGGGAGACGGAGAAAGGTCCGACTGTCTCCTCCATGTAGAGATTCTAATGGAACTGGAGACTTAAGAAGTCCGACACCAAACTCCTTTTATCCATCAGATAGAAATGTCTTTTGCTTTTCCTATTTTATTTAGCCTGAAGGGAAGTGCCATTGCCTTTTTTTTAAGAAACTGTAATAAGAAAAATCCACATACTTCATTTTTAAAGGTGCTTCCATGAATGTGTGAACAGAATTTGACATTTTTCTCTAGTTGTATTTTCTCTGGTTTCTTGCAAACACAAACAGGTTTAGCAGCAGTTCTCACCGGTGCAGCTTTCAGCAGGGATATCACACATTGCTGCTGCTTTTACTGTGTAATGTGAAATAGGCAATGCTGTGAAGGTTAATAAAACAAAGTTTACAGGAACCGATTCCGAATTTTTGTACTTGAAGGTGTTTTAAGACAGCCAAAATCTACTTTATTGAGCTGAACTGAGCAGCTAGTTGTTAACTCGTCAGTCCAGTTATAGAGAAAAACATTCTTTTACATGCTTCCTCGTGTATTTTAAGATGAATTGCATATAATTAATTGTATTATTGATTGTTTATTATTCATTTTTTCCAACATAATCTGGATTGGTGGACATACTTTAGTCTTCTCCTTCTAGTCGTATTGCTCATCTCCAGTTTAGAAAACAAAGTCTGTGAAATAAAAGGAAATTAAGACAGTTGTGGACAATGAGATACAATACATAGTCAGAACATGTTACGTTGCAACTGAAATCCTCTTCTGGTTCATTGACAACAGCAGAAGTGTTGGAAAAGATCTTCATAATTATTACGGTTTTATAATTGTTAACACATTTTAATTGTCTGGAATGTATGTTTGTTGTATGTAATAATCTGTTTATTTAAAAAGTTTTACATTTTAAAGTTTTGAGGAGGACATATTATGCTAAACTCATCTGTCGCATCCTTTTGAGCTGCCATGTGGGTCTCCACTGCCTCTACAAATGCTTCAAACATGAACATTAACATTTAAGCTGATTTTCTATGTTTGGCCTGAGAGAAAAAAGCCAACAATGAGCTGTTTTAGAAAAATGGGAAAATTAACATAGAGTCCCCTCTCACCTGGAGGAGAGCCGCTGTTACTCCGAGTCCCTCGTGGATATCTGAGCTTCTTAGCTTATAGCTGCCTATCAGGCAAAGGGTGGGCATGGCCAGGTCCAGCTTGTTTTCTAAAAGGGACATAGCCATGAATCGGCTTCTGGAGGGTACTGAAAATGCCAAGAAAAAAACTGCTGATGTCGCTTTCTGTGAGAGATTTTAAGGACGTTCAAGAACTTGTTTGTGTTGACCATAGAACTGTTATGACTAAAAATTACATTATTCACATATCCTGTAACAGTCAAAAAGTCTCTTATCCAATTACAAAGTTTTCTATTCTATTCTGCATAGTCAGTTTAGGTGTGGAATAATGTTTTGCTGAACTGAAGACAACCCTTTCTAGCAACTAACAGACTGTTGTCTCATTTTCAAGATGAAAATGCTTCATATTTTGTTTTGTTTTCTTTTATCACATCAGAACATAACAAGACTTGGTTTGTTTGCTATTTCTTGTCAGCCTTGTAGTGGTTTTGCATTAATGATTCCATAAAGGATTTTTGTCAGAATCAGCTTTATTGTCAGTGCTCCAGCGTCTCGAAGCATAGAAATTTGACTCCACAGAACAGCCTGACCACAGATACAGGCAGACCACGAGAGCTGCCATTCGAGGCGCTCGTTGTGTTTTCCCATTCGATCTATTGAAATAACCTCCTCTTCAGAGTATTTCACAAGTACTCCAGAAGTGTGTTTACATCAAAACTGAATGCATTTGCTATTACAGTTTGTGAAACTATTATTATGTGTGGCTTTAACTTTTCGTTGATAGCTAAGTATTTCACCCTACCCAGATCTGTATTTGTAGAAATATTTCAAGAGATTTGAGCATATAGCAGCCGAATATCTATTCATGGAAGTGATTGTCATATTCAAACTAGTCCCTTCCTTCTTTAAGAAAATGTGAAGATCAAAGTGAGTGTCTGAAAGACCTACAAAGACTCACTCAGCTCTAGAGGAACGCTCATGAATTGTTGCACACGAGTTGACCTACAAGATACGAACTCTTCTGTTCAGATTCATCTCTCCCCATCTTTGGCCACTGAAAATGAACATCAACAAGCATTTTTGTAAAGTTTCGTATGCTTATGTGAGTGTGGGAATACCCATTAGATGAATGTTGGATGGAGATGGGGGTCAACAGTGATGAGTGTGTTTTGATCCCATTAGGTTGCCAGAATCTCCTATACGCTCACACCTTACCTCCCACACACATTCATTCTGGATCGCTTGTGCTCAAGTGGTACTCACACTCGTACACCTCTTTTTTTTTATCATATTGACATTGATTTGTCTGTTTCACTTCCTGATTTGTTTTGCAAATGCATTTTGGCATATACTTGGTTTAGAAATTGACTTTTAGAATTTGTGATTATGGCTGTTTTCTTTTTGCATGTCTGAGTGTTTGCATCAGTCAGTCTCACTTCCACTGCTGTCCAACAAGTGATTGTAAGAAGGTGTGTGTGCACATCCTTGTGTATGTGTGACACCTGAAAGCTTGGCCTGCACTAATGGATCCAAAATGACCAGATAGCTCATTGTTTATGTCAAACATTCAGGATGTTATTTTATTCTTTTTTTCCAGAATAGCCAATACGCTTTCATCTCTAAACTGAGGTCATTGATTAACATCAGACACAAAAACAGGGCATTAAGGTTTTTTTTTGTTAACCCACTATTTATCATTAAGAGACAATAATTGTTTTGCCCACTGTTTTGGTAAATAAATTAGACTTTTTTATTTTGGATTTGACTTTTCTTTTTTTTTCTTTGGGTATCTGCTGATTTAGTAAGTACAGTAAGTAAGTAAATTTTATTTATATAGCACTCATCACATACATGGAATCACAAAGTGCTTCACATAGATCAAAACAAAATAAAACAAAGTCATTAAATCATAAATAGATTAACATCATAAAATCAAAATGCTCTCAAAACAGAATCAGATTAACGTCAGAAAAAATAAAGTCATAAAATTATAAAATTTCATAAACAGATGAAAGATTAGAAATTTGAATTAAAAATAAGAAAATAAAAGATTTAGGTAAAAGCAGCTTTAAATAAAAGGGTCTTCAGTGGTTTTTAAAAGTGTCCAGACTGTCAATGCTGCGTAAAGATAAAGGGAGATCATTCCAGAGTCCAGGCGCGTTGCAAGATTTTCAAAAGTGTGGGGGATGTTGTCTGTGCCTAAAATAAGTTCATGTTATTCATCTTGTTAGATTAATTTCCATAATAGCGGAGCAGGTGCGAATTTTAGACACGTCACGCATGTCTCCGTTTTAAACATGTTTAAACTGTTCAGAATACAAATCCAGGCTCTGTCTCGTTAGATTGGTGTAACTAAAGTTTGTACTGAATGAAACTTTACATTAAACCATGTTGAAAAGAAAAGGATCCGATTAAATAATTTCCCCCTAATTTTACAGTCAGTACAGTGCAGTGCGCGTGGCTCTGGGTTTAA